TAATGGGAAAATAAATCCTAAGTGAGACTATTATAGCAAGCTGTGCTGAGTTTTAATATCACAGATTCCTCTCATTACAGACGTGAGCAGAAGGAAGAAAAGGTCCTGGGACCTGAGAGATCTAAACTCCGTACAGTGATCTAGGCATACTAAGCTCCTCAAATGGAGAAATTTTGCAGCTGTCAAACCTACACACTCTGCAGCTTTGGCTGAGTTATGTTGTGTTTTTAAATAGTTTTGACTATAGGTCCTGCAATGAGGAATTTGTTTCTCTTTCTCAGTGGTAAAGCAAGGCATTAATATTAAAGTCATGAAAACAGAGACTCAGGCCACCCCAGACTAATTTGCCAACGTGATCTGAGGACATTGTGTACAGCGCACTCTTGCCAGGCGGGTGGTCTGAGCGCAACGCTCCTGCCCAGCTTTACTGCGCCCCCCCACCCCCACATCTCCCTCATCAGATCCTGCCTGCCAGCCTCGCCCAACTCTAGTCATTCTGCAAAAGTGCCATACTCTCCTTTTGCTCTTTCTTCTCTCTCTCATCTAATGAGCCTTCCATTCTCCAGGTCTCAACTTGTCCCGTGCTCCCAGGCAGACTTGGCATCTTCCTCTATCTCTAGAAGGCAACGTCTGCACACCTTCATTCCAACGTTTATCATCCTGTATTGTATTAATAATTTTTATTTGAATGTCCATTTCCTGCCAGACTATGGACTTTTTAAGGGCAGGAGCTGGGCCTTCTGTCTTTGATCCTCAGCCCAGGCATAGCATCTGGCCCAGAGGAGAACCTCAGTAAGATTTGTGGAAAGGAGGGAGGGAATGCAATCTGACTTCATCAATCACCCAAAATAATTAGAGGGTGCTACCTAATTTATTAAAGAATGTCTAATAGTTTCACTATGTTAAAATCCACCACTTAGTTTAGAATCTATTACAGGTTGTGTATCACTTATCCAAAATCCTTGGGAGCAAAAGTGTTTTGGATTTCAGATTTTTTCAGATTCGGGAATATTTGTTTATGTGTAATGAGATATCTTGGGGATGGGACCCAGGTCTAAACACAAAGTTCATTATATTTCATATACACCTTATACACATAGCCTGAAGATACTTTTATACAATATTTTTACCAATTTTGTGTATGAAACAAAATTTGAACTGTGACCCATCACGTGGAATTTGTCACTTGTGGCATCATGTCAACGCTCAAAAAGTTTTGTATTTTGCAGCATTTTAGATTTTAGATTTTCAGATTAGGGTTGCCCAACCTGTACTAGAATAGCAGTAATCACTAAAAACATTAAATAGTTCTAAACTGAGATTAGGAATATTATGTAGCAAAGATACATATACAAAATTTGTGAATAATTCACATATCCATCAGGAGGGGGCTTTTAAAAATTACCTTTTCATAACATATGATGAAGCCATTAAAATCAAGTTTCTAATATATTACTTTATAATAAAATGTTTTTGATATGATTAGTAGAAAAAACAAGATGCAAAACCTACAATATCTTAGTTTGGATAAAAAGTGTGTGACTGAGAGCATGCTTTGGAATTTTTTTAATACTTTTCTGTATAAATGATGAACATTTATAATGAACATATATTGTATAATCAAGAAACAGCTGGGCATGGTGGCTCATACCTATAATCCTAGCACTTTGGGAAGCCGAGGTGGAAGATCCCCTAAGGACAGGAGTGGGAGAACAGTCTGGGCAGCATAGATCTCATCTCTACACATTCTTTTTTAAATTAGCCAGACATAGTGATATGTGCCTATAGTCCCAGCTACTCAGGATACTGAGCCAGAAGGATCACTTGAGCCCAGGAGTTCAAGGTTACAGTGAGCTATGATCATGCCACTGCACTCCAGCCTGAGTGACAGAGTAAGACCTCTAAAAAAAATAAGACATCTTTTTATCTTTTACCTGAAACCCTATTTTAATATCTATTAATAACTTCTGCCCCCTTGTTGCTCTCTTCCCAGTAGAAATGTAACCCTGGTAGGGGAAAAGGTGGGATGGTTATGGTTATTTACTTGTAGAATTTCCAGAATAGGAGGATATGAAGTAGAAAAGCAGAGAAGTGAATTTCTCAGCACTTTAACTCAGGAAATGAGAAACTATCTTATGAAAGAGATGTTAAAAAAGTTTTAATCAGCAATACAGAGTATAACTGACAATACATTTCCCTATTTATCTGAAGTAATAAAGTTATTTAAAACAAATCAGCAAACTATGCTACACAGCCTAATGACTCCATGGCCTTGCCAGTCTTCACTTTGATGGCTCCTGTTGACAGTGCTGGAATAGCCTTAGCACTTTGAGAAATTAGAAGACAACAGGGGCAGCTATGGCTCAACACCCCTATGTCAGAGGACCTATACCTAGCAAAAGCAGTCTTTTTATTTCTTCAGACATCACACCAGCACCCATTGATTGAGCAGGTTGAGTTCTTGTTAGTCCTCCTTAGCAGTTTGAGAATTTCCTCTGGGATGCATCTCATCTCAGGCATGGTGTCTGCCTGCTTGCCAGTGTAGGAAGTCATTTCTCAATGCTTATCTCACACAAGGAGAGCAAAGTTGCATTTCAAATGCAATAGCCCATCCAGACCTCCTGTGTGCCCATCACACCTGCCCACCTGCGCTGGTGGCCTCTGAGCCTCACCTCCAGCCTAGTAAGTGCCTCCAGGGTCCCAAAGCCTTCTTCCTGTTCCTTCCTCACCAGGACGGATACCCAGAGCTGTGGCCTCCATCAACCAGCACCTCCTGAAATCAGATGACGTGGTCAGCTGCTGCCTTGACCTCGGAGTGCCCAGCATCTCTTTCCGCATCAACGGGCAGCCCGTGCAGGGGATGTTTGAGAACTTCAACACAGACGGGCTCTTCTTCCCGGTGATGAGCTTTTCAGCAGGTGTCAAGTAAGTAATGGCTGTGATTTCATGGAGGGTGTCCATTGCCCCACCACACCACCCCCACGGTGAGCCAGGGAACCAGCAGTCACTTCAGGGCTTCAGCATCATGAGCCAAACTCCTCTAAGGCAGTGATGGTGCAAGGATGAGAGCCAGTCAGTCATTGGCTCCAACTCCACTTGCTGAACCTCCTGACAGGGGGTATATTATCTTCCCAGATAAACAGTTAAATTAACAAGATAAATTCTATATAGAAATTAATAATTATAAAAGTATCACCTGCTCATCGTAAGAAACTTGAAAGACATAGTTATAAATAATATAATAAAAATCACCTGTTAATCCAACATTTAGCTATAATCCATTAATATTTTGGTATGTTTTTCTTTTAAGTCTTTTTTCTACAAATATATCTGTATTTTTCAATTGGAATCACACTGAGCTTGAAGTTTTATGTCTTAATTATTTATCATTCAATAGTAAGTAATGAGCCTTTTCCTAAGTCATTAAGTATCCTCTAAATGATTGTTATGGCTACATAATATCTCTGTATTTGGCTGTCTCATAATATAGTCATTATTTTGTTGTTATATTTTCATGCCAATTCCATTTTCATTGCTGTAAACAAAATTACTACAAACAGCCTTGAACATAACTCTTTTTCTGCATTTCTATTTTGTTCCTCCTAGAAGTAGGTCAAAATGTCTGAATGCTTTAAAGTTTAAGTTTTTTTTTTTTATTTTGTTCATTTTTTTTTATTTCGGCATATTATGGGGGTACAGATTTTAAGGTTTCAATAAATGCCCATTTCCCCACTTCCCCCCAAAAGTCTGAGTCTCCATCATGACCATCCCCCAGATGGTGGACATCTCACTCATTATGTATGTATATACCCGTCCCCCTCCCCCCTCCCACCTGCCCAATACCCTATTACTGTAGTACCTATGTGTCCACTTAGGTGCTACTCAGTTAATACCAATTTGCTGGAGAATATATCTGGTGCTTGTTTTTCCATTCTTGGAATACTTCACTTAGTAGTATGGGTTCCAGCTCTAACCAGGAAAATATAAGATGTGCTATATCACCATTGTTTCTTAGAGCTGAATAGTACTCCATGGTATACATATACCACATTTTATTAATCCATTCTTGGATTGATGGGCACTTGGGCTGTTTCCACAGCCTTGCAATTATGAATTGTGCTGCTATAAACATTCGAGTGCAGGTGTCTTTTTTGTAGAGTGTCATTGGATCATTTGGGTAGATGCCCAGCAATGGGATTGCTGGATCAAATGGTAGATTCACTTGTATCGCAAATTGATGTTCAGGAAGATCATATGAACAGTTCAGAATTCCTTATCAACAATTTCAAACTCTAAGAAGCTCTGAAAGCTATAGATCTGTTCATAACTCATTTTGCAATAAAATCTAATCTGAACTTTTTGTGGCAAAACTATCATCAACAGAAATGAGGGTATTTTTAGTCTTTCATTTATTCTTATGAATATATGCTTAATTGAGGAAATACTAATGTGTTTGATTATGGTGTACTGCCCCTCACCTAGCTTAAGGCTCTACTTAATATATGCTAGGTGAGTCTTCTTTCTTTTTCAAACGCTAAAGAATTATGAAGACTGAAGCACATCTCCAAAGCTTTCAGATCAAGGATTTGGGCCTGTAGTATAATTTAAAGCAACATATGGGAATGTCCAACTGATTGGATCCTCACTAACTTTTGCTGCTATTATTTTTGATCATTGCTAATTTAATAAAACCATATCTTAGAGTTTATTTCTTTGATTACCAGTGTGGTAAAGCATTTTTTTGCTTATTATTCTTATATGTATTTTCAACCCAATAATTTTGCTGTTTTTGTGTTCTCAGCCTTTCTAACATTCATTTTATGGACAATTTTTTAAAATAAGTCTATTAAACTTTTTCTTACTGGTTTAAAACATTTCTTCCACTTTGTGACTTACCGTTTTACACTTAGTCTTTTTCCTGTTTTTGTTTTGTTTTTTGTTTTTTTGGATTTTTTTGCTTTTCCTTTTTATAAAAGTAACATAAGTCAAAGAAAATACCAAGAACTCATAATAATGCTACCCGGAGATAATCATATTACCTTTTATATACATATTTAGGTATTTTTTACATTAAATTGGGCTGTCTGGAATACCTACAGTGTATAAAAAATTTAAATAAATTTTTTAAATAGACTAGGCTTGTCCTATGCATGCTGCTTTTCTATATACTGTTGCTAACTGTTATGTTCATTGCTGTGCACATCTTTCCTTGCACCAATTGGATGCTGTTTTAATTATTTTAGCCTTATACATTTTAATGTTGTAAGGCAAGACCTCACAATAACCCTTCTTTCCTAAAAATTTTCTTAGCCAATCTCCATCCCTGTGTCTTAAAGAGATCACAGTCTATTGAGCAGGAGACTGGAGTCAACACAGTTAGAATCATAGTAGTGTCCATGGAAGCTATTGGAAAGGGCCATGGACGGAGGAGAATTGTGAAGAGTAGGAGCTTTTATCTGGGACCACAAATAAACCATCTCAGGGCTCCAAGTTCAAGTGATGGGATTTTCAGAATGAAACTACTGTAGGAGGCCTCAGCACCTCATGTAGACTGATAAACCAAGACATCTTCATATATTTTCCAAAGAAGGATGAAAATTTGGTTCTGTTTCAATTAAATAAACTATTATGGAATAAAAAATTATCCTTTGGAAATGATACTCAGCCTTTGGAATTTGAGACAGATATGGGTATATGTTTGCATATATACACGTGCATATTTACATGGATATAATATATTGAAATGGGCATAACATATTGAAATTAAGCATTGATATTATCTGAGATTCTTGCAACAAATAGAGAGCCACTATAACAAAGCTTTGCTAGGGTTGAAAATCTGCTCATCACAGATTCAAACCAGGGAACCTTCAGCCCCAGACACTAGATTCTAAGAGTTGAGAACTCTTTACCTGTGTTTCTCTGTGCTGAGGATATTTCATCCAAATTCTCTTTTTAAATGTGGTCTCACATATTGATATCTTCCTTGCTACCCCTAAGGAGCCTGTAGTAAACAAGGAGTGTTACTGAAAGACAGAGGCACTAAAAGCACAGAGAATGTTGATTGGAGCAAAGACCCTCTGGGAGGAGGGAGAGGACCCTTTTGCACTAGGGAAACACAGTGTAAGCCCCATGGCACCTTTTCCCCACCCCAGTCCCCAAGAATAGAGAGAATAAGTAGAAATCCAAATACAATATAACAGCATTAGCGGCATCCACCCTTTGACTTGTACCTTCTCTGGAGAAATGAGGTCACTCTGAGCAGTCAGTTCCCAGGACTGTATTTGCCTGGGTGGTTGGTGGCCTTGGTCACCCATCATTAGTGCCCTTTCCATTTTTATTTGTTTAGACCAGGGATCCTCAAATGTTTTAAACATGGGGTCAGTTCACTGTCCCTCAGACCGTTGGAGGGCCAGACTATATTAAAAAAAAAAAAAAAAAACTATGAACAAATTCCTATGCACACTGCACATATCTTATTTTGAAGTAAAAAAACAAATGGGCAAAAACACCCACATGTGGCCCTTGGGCTGTAGTTTGAGGATGCCTGGTTTAGACCATGCCCCATTCACCAGTGTTTACGTATTTTCAAAGAGAGTACACCTACTTCCCCAGCATCTCCTCTGAGAAAACTTACTTGTGTGAATTCAGATCTTTGAAGGAGGAGTTCTCTGCAGTCTGCAGGCTTGCAGACTTGTCTGCATGTTTTGTGTCTAGAGGACAACACATCTGCTCTCACATGCTGCAAAATGATTCTTAAGCACTTCTAGTCTCCTTCAGAGAACTGAGATAAGATTTTTGTGTCTGTGATTTTTCTTTTTGGGGGGTTGGGGAGCAGGAGGATTTTGTTTTTGAATCCTCTTGACGAAGAACTGCAGCTAGCAGGTAAGGAAATAATAGGTGACTTAAAGGTATCCACGTGTAGAAGACACGTCTAGCACCTTGTGTCTAGGTCAGCAGTTCATGCAGCCTTCTGAGTGCACAGATGAAAGAGAAGCAAAGTTGCGAGGTGAGAAAAGTGAGATGACTAACCATTTAGAAGGCACAACTGCTGAGAGAATTTAAGAAACTGAAAGATCCAGGTGTGTTGACTTGAAGAATCAACAGCTTGGATCTGAGAGCCTTTCGCTTATAGCAATTGAACAGTTGGTAGGCTAAAGAGCAGTGCTGGGGGGCGTGAAGTCACTCAAGCTTCCTGTCTCTCAGAATACTATCAGCTCTGACATGTCCTTTCTTCAGGTCTCACAGTGAGTTATGATTCAAAGAGAGGTGGAATCACAGGGCCTGCAATGCATCTTGTTCATCACGTGATGTTCTAAGGCAGGGTCAGCGTCAGTCCTGTGTTGAGAAGTAGCCAGCTGGTTTTATTTTCATTTTTGAACAAATGAGATTGATATACCAGTGCTACAGAAACTGGTAAAGTATGATGTTGTGCTGAAACCCAGCAATTCTTCTCTGTACTACTTTAGTTCAGCTGTACAAAAAGCTAGAAAGAGAAACCAGGATAGTAATTCCAAGTTAATTAAAGTGTCTAATTGAAAAGCAATGTGTTTAATAATAAAACTGAAAAATTACTGTTTCATCCAATACTGCAGAACACTTGCCTGGCTTTATAGCATTTCCTCCAGCAAGATGCAAGGTATCATGCTCATCTAAAGAGAGATTCCTCTTCTCCCATCATAGAAGCATTTAGAATTGTTTTTCATATATATTTTTAACTTCTGTGTATCTTTTAAATTAGATTTCTCATTCACAGACTCATGAGGTCCTAGTCTTGAAATTTTTTAAAATAATTATTGTTATGCTTACAAACTACGTTGTTAATAATACCTGGTTAGGATATCCTTGCCTGGTGTCATCAAAGAGCAAAGCCACATGAAGAGCGAAAATCTTTTTCAATTAGATTTACCCACAGTGAAGTCACAGGCAGTGTGAGTAATTACTGACAAAACCCACAGATCAATATGTCATGCTCTTTATTCTGTTATGAATGTGCTTCCATAGTTTTCTCCTCAATGTGGTTTGTTTATGGACAGTATTGCTAGTGCGATAATGCTATAGGTCCTCAATGTAGCAGCCCTATTGATTATAGGGCAGACTTTGGGATGAGGCATGTGTACCTTGGAGCTCACCCGAAGGGGCGAGTTACTTAGATGCCAGGAGGCATTTATTAAAAGATGGTCTCACCACCACCCCTACAAATGGAGTCTTGCTGTCTTGCATAGAGAACATTATACAGAAGCCACAGTATATAGCGAAATTTTCGTGCTACTTTTTGTTTTACAGAAAATTGATGACTTAATCACTGCAGTAGAATACATTTTATAATTATAAACTCCCTATAGACCTACTTAATCACTTTCCATGATTCTTTTACAAACTCTTTCTAATTTATAAGAACAACCATACCCAAAGATGCCTGGTATTTGTGGTTGCTGTTTGTGTTCTTTTGGTATCCACCAGACTTGGCTAAAATTCAGGTAACCAACAGCTTAGCTATTTCCAGCTTGCTGTGGTCAATGCTGTGGAAATTATTGCCGAGATAAATATACTTCTGTGGGGAACATGATGAGTGCTGGCTGAATTGCCCTGGGCTTTCATCAAACACCAGCCCAAAAGAAATATGAATGTGGGAATGTCCATAACTCAGATTGTTCTCTAGTCTTAGTGATGCAGACTAAAGATGCAATTATGAATCATGACTTACGAGTTGAATCCAGGTCAGCCTAAGCTTGCTAATGCTTTCTCCTCTTACAGCTTGTATCCTTTTCTTCTCTGGAACGTTATCCCAGCTGTCTGGGAAGAATTCAATAGCAGAAGAGAGTAATGAAATGTCTAGTAAGACTAAACTGATTTTACATGTTTGCTAGTAAGCTCTGAATAATAACGTTATAGACCAGTGAAAGCAAAACTTGTCACCCTTTTTGACCACAGCAAAGCTTTGGTGTGATTTTTACCACATGTTTTATTCATGGGTCAGTCATTTGAATCTGGGATTTGCAATAGGTATTCCCATCTCTTCTGCAAATTAGCAAGCAAAAATACATTTCAAAAGATCAAATTGAAAATGCTGGCAGGGATGTTCAATATAATTTGGCCTGAGCTTTCACAATTAGTCAAGTGAATAAAAATTTCCTTTACACATCCTAAAATTTCACTACCCCCAGGCAACTATTACTGAAGCTATTGCTTAGTTCTGAGATGAAGGAATCTAAGGACATAGCGGCTTACTGTAAATACTCCAGGAAGAAAAAAATCTTTGAGAGCTGATGTTACATCTGAGTTCTAGGAAGAATCCCAGAAGATAATGCAAGGGCTTTAGTGGAAGAGATTAAATTGATTAATGAAATTGATTTTTAAAATCCATTAATGTAGAGAAAAATCTGAGGATAAAGAAGTAATTTTAATGAACTCAATTTTTAAATTCTCTTTTTTTAAATTTAACATTTGGGGAATGCTGGGAGATTCAGTGGAACTCAGGAGAGGGAAGAAAACACAGAAGAGAGATTTGCATTCTAATTGGACATTTCTCATTTGTAAATGAAGTAAAGGATTTAAAAGATAAACATTATGTGTCAGATACCAGATTTATTGAGAGAAGTAGACTAGGTTAAGTGTAACCTTATTGTTTCTTCTTCCACCCCTGTAAAGCCAGGCTCTGGACTTCTGGCCCTAGAGAAGTTCTCAACTAGGTCTTTTTGCTTTTATTGCTGCTTTATGGAACAAGAACAATCTTGTCAGTAATTTAAAAGTTCCATCTCTTTGAATATAAAATTCAGATTTGTATTCAGTTTAAGGTTTGAGCCTGCCCTAACCTGAGCCTTCAGCATGAGGTCAGCTTCTTCTGTTCATTGGTCTGCCTTCTCCCAGGTCAGCCGGCTCCTGTTGCAGACCCCTCTAGCACGGAGCCCCTGGGGGGAAAGGCCTGGGGGAGGAGCTCGTTCTACGGAGTGGGTGCTGTTGTCATGTGACATCCAGCCTTTGTGCAACGATTGCACAATGGCTGCCTCTTTCTCTTCTGGGACCTTTTAGTTGTTTTCTTGGTAAGCATAAGGCTGGGAGCCTCCTACCACAGTTCACAAGCCTTACCACTTCTGTTGGCTTCTCCCCCCGCCCCTTACCTCAAAGCTATCTTTGCAACCTGCCCCACTGCCACCCTCCTCTAGAACCTGGGTTTCCGACCTCTGCTCAATCATTGGCCTTTCTGGGCAGAGCCCCTTTCAAGATGGCTGACAGTGGGCTCATTGCTGGAGCCTGTATCTGACCCTCTAGGGAGCATGTCCTTGTCCTCACCCTGAGCAGAAAGGCAACTCTTTCCCATACATCCCTTTCTCATGCTCTCTGCTCTGTCACCAGGCAATTGTGTCCCTCACTAAACTCCAGAGGACATTTGTCAAGGTTCTGAATGGGTTCTTGAAACCCTTATCTTTCGACTTTGGATAGGAAGAATGCCCTTCCCTTTCTTCCTGACAGTTCTGCCAAATGACCTCTTATTTGTCTGGAGGGGTGCAGTGGGCTAAGGCTGGTAGAACCGGCTTCACAGGGATTTTTTTTTTTTTTTTTTTTTGGCTATATACTGCATAGTTGACCCTGTACCTCCCTTTTGGATGTGAAAGTATTTGGCATCCTCTTAATTACAGATTCATAGTTCTACCTTTGGGACATCTGCCAAAACTCCAAGACAAAAGGGAGCCCACTTTTATATACTCAAAGAATTAAAGTGAGTTTTAGTATTATTAATAGTTCCTTCTTTTGGTTGTTCCCTCCAAACTTCAGTTTTATTCTTTGTTACTTCCTTTGACCTCATCAATCTGAATCTCCCAGAGTGAGTTGTGAGGGGCACCACACCACTATTGAATCCCTGCCCACAGACTCTGGGCAGGTTGTTCATGTGCAGTGAGGGAAGGAGACACAGATGGTGAGTGTGCCTGGGATCAGTCCCTGTACCGTCCTGCCCACTGGGAGAACAGGGGCTCTTATCTGGCAGGACTTCCGAAGAAATAATCCAGGACCTTTACTTCCACCCATTTAAGCACAGTGTGAAGATGTTTGAAGACATCATTAGTAAGCACTAAGCATTGATTTCTGCCTATGTTAATTTTTCATTTTACAGTTTTTTGTGGCCATTAGAGGAGATGAGATTAAGATTTATAAACAAATTATCACTCTTCTTTTAATAACTGAATATAAAAACAGCATTATTCTCATTAAGTGCTACATGGAACTCCACCATTCTTGATTTGTTATCTATCCAGCAGATTTTAAAATGTAAGAGAAATTTTGAAACTAAACAACCGGCAAGAGAGCTCATGAATATTGAAGTCCTCATAAAAGACCATTTACTTGCTCTTGGAATCCATATGCTAGTGAGTAACAATACACTTGCTGTAGGCATTACAGCAGTACACAAGCTCCTAGGCATTCAGCTTCTCACAGGAAAAATGCTCAATGAGGAGAGAGAGGCAGAAAATCTCCCACACTAATTATTTGCTCAAAAAGATCCAGTTTTATCCCATGGCTTCAATATGTCAGTAACACAATCTGTTATGTTGCAATTGAATTGGGAAGTTCTTAACAAATAATTTCAAGGCTTAGTCATTATTTCCTGAAGTTTCACTAAATTAGTAACGCTGCAGGCTAATGATTCAATTTTGTTTTAATGTCATTGTTCAAATTCTTAATACACATAGATCGTGCCCTATTACATAACACTTAATGTAGGAACATTCACAAGGGACAATTGTGGTTCTAATTCTATATCATTATTGTTTAGTGCCTTAAAATGGGGAAGTGGGAGGTTTCATATGATTTCTATAATTTGGATAACGCAAACAGCTTTATTGGGAAGGGGGGAAACCTTAGCATCTCTCACTTGGAGAGATTTTTATTTTCCAGTTCCAAAATGCAGCCAACACTGAGATTCTCGTGTGAGTCTGCCCTACCAGAATGTTCCAGTTAAAGGAAGTGAGGCCCCATGGAAAGTGTCTTGCTGAGAGAGCTTTGCTAAATCGTAAACTTCCTCCATATACCCCATCCCCATCCACGCATGCACCCAATTCATCAGCAATTCTTTAACAGTCCTGATTTCAAAACAAAACTCGGATTTGGCTACTTGACTCTTGCCACTCTCATCTCCTTGTGACTACTTCAAGACTCTCCTCACTGGTCCCCAGACCTGTCTATATAGAGCAGATAGAAGAATCTTGTATTTCCTCGCTTTAAAACCCATCAGCAGCTTCCCTCTCAGAACAAAACCTTCCCTCTCAGAATAAACTCCTTGCCAGGGCTCACAGACCCTACCTGATCAAGACCGACTTCCGCCACCACCACCCCTCCTCACCTTCCTCCCCCTGGGCTCATGGTGTTCTCTCTCACAGCACCCTCCTCTCGAATCCACCCAAGCTCTTCCCCACCTCAGGGCCCTCGAAGCGAGGGTGAGGTAGCGAAGCTCCACCTGCATCCACAGCCGCTCCCCATGCTCGCATGGCGGCCTGAGCCCCGCCCCGTGGCGGATCCGCGCTGGCCTCGGACGCTCTCAGGAGCGCAAACCCCACTGCAAACTGCGCATGCGCGGGAAGCAGGCTGTGTGCTCCGCGCGGGAATCCAACTCCTGATGATCTGAGGTGGAGCCAAGGCGGCGACCCACCTCACCCCCAGCCCGGTCCGTGGAAAAACTGCCTTCCACAAAACCGGTCCCTGTTGTCAAAAAGGTTGGGGACCTCTGCTCTACCTGGAATCTCTTCTTCCAGGTCTTGAACTCACTGGCACCTCGTTATCCCTCAAGGTTAGCTCCGTGTCTGCTCTCCAGAGAGGCGTGCCTTGACCCCATCTCTAGGAGCCGTCCTCTTCCCTGAGCTACTGCACAGCTCTCTCTTCACTACCTCATCGGATGTCTTCCAATCAGGAATTACGCGTTTTTGTCCCATAAAACACCTGCTCTGTGACACCAGGGACGCTGTGCACTTTGTTCATTGCTGATCCCCAGCACAAAGACAAGTGCAAGTTGCACGGGCTCTGTAAATACTTGCTAAGTAGAGGGGGCGGGGAATGAATGTTGTGTGTAGACACTATGTGTATATTGATTTTTCTTGTGTGCAATTATTGTTGAACCTGCAGGGCTACATATCTTGCCGTGTTTTAATTGCTTAAAACTGTGGTCATATTTTCTCATCTATTTAATGCGGTTGCAGTTGATTTGTAAAAGCAATATTTCTGATTACAAACCTGGGATCATGTGAAATATCATTTTGGAAATAGTTCACTTTCACTCTCTCCTCCTCGCAGGGGGAACTTTGGGGTCTAATCCTAGCCCCGAGCTACCCTACATATAAGAGGCTGACTTTCAGGCAGAATGAATAAAAATATTGAATGATTTCTATGTGTTGGTAACTGGAGCCTGCCTGCCATTACTGCGAGCCCCTCCGTGTTCTTCCCCCTGCCTTGGGAAGTCCCAGTTGGCACTGCTGGTGCGGGCCTGGGTTTTAGGCCTGGGTGCTATCAGGGAGATGGTGCCCCCGAGAAAGGCCTCTTAGGGAACAAACACTTCAATGCCCATCCATCCACTCCCATGCAGCCATAGCTGACGCCTCACAGTCGTCCTCATATGGCTGGTTTGGGGAACTGCAGTCTCTGCAGTGTATCATTTCTATTAAGTAATATTACCAGCCAGGTACTGTTGGCGTTTAATTCTCTGGTGGTAATTTTTTCCTGAATCTCAAGAATTTCCTATTTTCCCCAGATAATTTCATCATGTTTTCTTTAATTGATAAGCGGGTAATCTCCCTCAAGTATAAAGTCTTGAAGGTCACATGGTGTCATTTGGATATGATCTTTGTAGAGAATAATTTCATCATTATCACTGTCACTCTTTTTAATACTGTAGCAATATCTATAGCAATTACCTACTAGAGTAAAGACAAACTTCATTTTAAAAACCTGATTTTATATATAAATAAATTTTAGGGATTCAGCTGATATGGGTTAGCTGAGGATCATGACTTTACACTTTTCACTGTTTTGATACATACTTTAGGATATTTGCTGTGTTGAACCTGAAATCAGTCACTTCCCAACAAAATAATTCTCAAAGGGGGAGATGGGGACGGATCTTTAATTTTCATTTATTTTGGCTGGGGTGTTTGTTGACCTCTCTGTTTCTGTTCTCCTCAAATGACGCAGAGTACGTTTCCTGATGGGTGGACGTCATGGAGAATTTAAGTTCCTGCCTCCCTCTGGCTACGCCCCTTGCTATGAAGCCTTACTTCCAAAAGAGAAAATGAGATTGGAGCCTGTCAAAGAATATAAACGTGATGCTGAAGGGGTTAGAGATCTACTGGGCACCACCCAGTTCCTCTCCCAAGCCTCCTTCATCCCCTGCCCCATAGACACCAGTCAGGTAGGTTCAAGTTGCCAGCGAGAGGCAACCCATATAGATGATGTAATGCAGTTAAATCCTCCTCCTTTCTATCTTGTCTTTCAACATTCTTGCCATACATTCCGTAGCATTATTGTGGAATGCAAACAACTGTTATATTCATGTTTCTACCATCCGCGTAGCTTCAGTTCTTTAAGGATTTCTCAATCAATGAACATATTGAGCTGCTGCTACATGCCCCATATCCTGTGAATGACAGAAATGTTTCAGTATTCTCTGGGAACTCAAAACCAAAATAAGGACATAAGCAAATGTATCATTTTTTAAAAGGCCACATGTTATAAGTGCAAAATGAACAGTATGCACAAGTAAATGCTAGACACATCCTTTAGGCTAGAATGTTTCTAGAAATCTGTGTAGAGAGGGTAAAATTCAGTCAGAGCCTTTAATAAGCTTGAATGGAAAGGGCATCCATGGCTAATATAAAAGGAATGGAATAAATAAGGGCCTAAAAGTAGAAACACAAAGTTGGAACAGGTGGCAGTGAATGTTCTCACATGGCTGGATGCTTGGAAGATAAGGAGCATGTAGGAGAAGAGTTGAAAATAAAAGCGAAAGAAACAGGGAATAGCATGGAGGCCTTTGGAAGTGTTGATAAATGAACATTTTCTTTTTCTTTCCATGGTCTGTATTTTGAGAGAAACATATTTACATGGTATGACAAGGGGCATGCAACAGCTTTCAGCATTTTCTATACACCAGGGCTATTTGAATCACTATTGTAGATGTTAAAGGAAGTAAATGAAAAGGGACCTTGCCTCTAAGGCACTGGGGGTTAATAGAATGTACTAATGTAGCTCTTTTAGCCTTTAGGATGTCTGTGGCATGTATTTTCCCAAAATATTTGATGATCCCGTTATTCATCTGTGTATATGTGTTCATGAGTTTCCTTCTTCCCTCCTGTAGCCAATGATTGTGAATTTCCATAGAATAGAAACTGCAGCTCTTCTCTGCCTGCTTCACAGAGCCCAGCATCATGAACATTGGGGGTGTTGATAATATTGATAAGAAACTGGGAAGAGTTTGTAAGCTACAAGTGATCCTAAAAATTGGATAGTCTGGTTTCTATATATTCTAGAATTTGGGGAGGAAAAACTTTTACTCTCCTAGGTTCTGTAACTGGGGGCAGCCGAACTAAACTCTGACCAATTAGCAAGAGAAAAAAATCAGATATTAGTACAGAATTCATAAAGAAAGGGACTCAGGGAGGAGGTTAACATTTGGAGCTTATATACTATCTTAATTGGGAAAGGGAACAAGGGAGATGGGCACTTTGAGAAAATCAATGACTTTGGGAAAGATATGTGGGTCCTTGGGAGGGCAGATGGGAGATACGATGGTTTTGTGACGGGGCCTGTTCAAGTATGGGGCCAACTTTTCTCTGGTTATAAGAGTTAATCTTCCCTGGGAAGGAACAGTTGAATTCTTTTGGGAGGCTTTTCTTTAAGGCAGATAAAGCCCCTCCCTGTATCATTTGTTTTCCAAATGAGTTTAGTTCAAAATGATCCTTATGCCACGTGGCATATTTTGGATCCTTTCATAGACAAGCTTGAGGCCCAAAGACTGAAGGAGCTTTTCCATGGACATGAGGTTGCTACTGCCCAAACAGGGAGAGAACAGGAACACGAGTGTGACTCCTGTCTGGGCTTCCTCTCCTTGCTCAGTAATCAGAAATGTGTGCATGACTCAGGCAAGGCTTCCTAGAAGAAAATGGCTTCAAAAATAGTTCAGAAGAATGAGGGAAAGTTTTGATGGGGGAGGAAAGAAGGGGCGGCTGACCCAAGAAAGAGAAGAGTTTTTTAAACATGCAGAATTGAAGATTTGGAAATCAAATAGCAGAGATAAGTCCACAAGCCAGAATAAGTTTGATGTCTGGACCTAAAGCTGAATTTGGATGGACCCTGGAAGTAGGGAAATACTGCTGGGAAATCAAATAATAGGAAAGTTCTCATTGGAAAGGTGCAACTTATTATCTTGAAAGAGACCTTGTAATGTTTTAGAATCTATTCTATGAAATTATCATCAAAGGAGAAGTTCAATATAAGATCCAAAGTCAACTCTCCATTTTCCCTGGTCCTAGTTAACCAATTAAATCTAAAACAGTTGTGACTTGTTTGCTAATAATTTCCCCATTTTGTTTATTATCAGAACATGCGACTTACAGTTGTCCCTCTGCGGATTCCATATCCATGGACTCAACCAACCGAAGAGAGAAAATACTCAGAAATAAATACAAATTAAAAAGCAGTGCAGTATAATGACTATTTATGTAGCATTTACATTGGTATTATAAGTAACCTAGAGATTATTTAAAGTATATGGGAGGATGTGTGTAGGTTACCATTTTTTGTAAGAGACTAGTATCTGCAGATTTTGATATGGGGAAGGGGTCCTGGAACCAAGCAAGCCTCCTTGGATACAGAGGGATGACTGTATTAACTTAGACTTTACAATAATTAAGTTAAGTTGATTTTTTTAAAAAAGTCTTTAATTAAAAGGCAAATAGTGGTTATAACACATATTTTGAATATTTTGTTGCTGCTTTTCTCTATGATGTTATACATCACTGACTTAATATGCTTTTTCTACAAAACAGTACTTTTCCCCATGGGTACCCTACACCTCCCCCCCCCCTCAAAATGGGATTTTTTTAAATAGTGGAACTATTAATAGTGGAAATACCAATAATCATTGTAATAGAGCAGGAATTGCAAGGCCTGGGCAGGCAATGTAGAATCAAGAAAACTCTAGCATGCTGTCCTCCTAAAGGAAATGGTGAGTTCTCAGCCCCAGCTGGCCATTGCCATGCCACAGCATGGCGCACCACCTTCCAAGTGGTCAAGAGAAACTAGAAGCCGGGATTTTTGTATGAAATGTCCCATTTCCTAAGGGTTGTCAACTAATAAACATGAAGAAAATAGGAGGGAAAAAGGAAAAGCTTGGGTCCCTAGTTTATGATCTCTATGAAGAGAGAAAGAAGCAAAAAACTGGGAAAACACAGAAAATTCTCCCTGGAGGTAATCAGGGGAGACTTCCCAAAAGTGGTGAGGTTTGAACTAAATTCAGAAGGGTAAATATTGAGAGTGTTTTCCAGGTGGTGAGGAAGAGTGTGTATGTTCTATGGTCGTGGTAGAGAGTACTGTGTTTCCCTGAAAATAAGACCTACCCATAAAATAAGCCCTAGCAGGATTTCTAAGCATTTGCACAATATAAGCCCTACCCCGAAAATAAGACCTAGTGATGGGCGTGGCTACGCAGCGTACCTGCACAACCCATGCATTTTGTCGCGGAGCAGTAAACAAGATGAGCAGCCCTTCTCATCTGCTCCATGAGAGCTCTATTGCTCCACATGAGAGACTGGGGAGAGATTTTCTAAAGGAAATAGAGTAGCAAGAAATTCAGGATGGAATTAGGGGTTTGGAGAGTTATGATGATGTTCCAGAAGACTTAACTATATTTGAATAAATGTAGATTGTTGTACCGTACTTAAAAAAAAAAATAACACATCCCCTGAAAATAAGCCCTGGAGTATCTTCTTGAAAAATAAATATAAGACCCTGTCTTATTTTCAGGGAAACACAGTATTAATAAGGGTAAAGGTTGCACATGTAAGGGCACAGGACTGTGAAATGATGTGGTCTGTTGGGAGAATTTCAAGAAGTTTGAAAAGGATGTGTGTTGTGGAGTTTGTGATGAGAGAACTAAAGAGGAGCACTGTATTCTAGGTTGATACATCTAGTCTTCTCTTAGGAGTGTCCAGGAATGCTTGGGGGACACTGAGGAAGAGAGTGTCTTGATGTGATTTCTGTTCTTGTAGACTCATCCCTCTGGCTGCAGTGAGGAGGACAGATCGGTGGGGAGTTGAGGAGGCTGTTTATGAGTGTCTTGCCCTGGTCTGGGGAGGAGATGAGGAGGTTGAATGATGGAGAGAAGATCCTTCAGAAAGACACAACATTTCACAACTGATTATATGGTGGGGGTGGGAGGTAGCAATAAGTACTAAGGGAGAGGGAAGTGATGGCGGGGCATGCAAGAAGAAGAGTTTGAAGGAAAGATAGGAAATTCAGCTCTGGATAACTTACTGAAGTCACTTTAATGGAAAAATCTTGTAGGCAGTTGGAACTATGGGTCTAAACTTCAAGAGAGACCACGGCTAGAGATGTACTGACCTGGGAGTGACCTTCTACAGGGGCAGGTGGTGCAATCTCCTGAGTGGAGAGAGAGGAAACAAGGCGAGGGAAGCACCCCATATGATGCAGATACTCTCAGGGAAGACGGAGGTGGTGGGGGGGGCAGGAGGTGTGCAAGGAAGCAGCCAGGAGCACAGAGGAAGCCAGGGAGGGAAGAAGAGGGCTGGGCACACACATAGTCAAGTCCGGTGAGGTCAGAATGGTGTAGCCTGTCCTGGGGCACATGCCAGTGACTTCAAATGGGGCACCTGACCCTGTCCATTTTATGATATATTTCAATACAATTGATTCTTACAGTTCTGGCTTTTCACCTGCTGCTTTTCCTTTAGGTTGTTTTGCCACCTCACCTAGAGAAGATCCGAGACAGACTGGCTGAAAACATCCACGAGCTCTGGGGAATGAATAAGATAGAGCTCGGCTGGACTTTCGGCAAGGTATGCGTGTGTGTGGCCGGCTGGGGGGTGGAGGGCTGGGTTGCCTCGCTGCCTGGAAGGGCTCTTCAAAGGCTTCAGTGAGCACAGGGACCTCCTGAGCCAAGGCTCACGTCC